ATTATTATCACTTCTGCCACTATTATTATTACCATTATTATGAAAATAATTATTGTAATGACGATAATAATTGTTATTTTTCAGAGCCGAGCAGTTTTGATCTGAAAGTTGATGGCAAGACAGATCTGTGTACGAAAAATGAAGATATCAATTTCGTTTTGGCGGCATTCGCAGTTGAAGGTATCCTGAGAAGTGGCAATGGTGGTGGGCCAGCCGACGTGGCATTAACTCTCAGTGCTGAAAATGGCTCAGTGATAGCTGAAACACGAACAGTTGCTAATGGAGCATATCGTTTTCGGGCCCCACCGGGCAAATATCTCGTCAGTATTTGGCTTATTTTTGTTCATTCCTTCATTTTTATGCATTTTTGCATTTATGCAATGTAGAAAACGCATATTGACGAGAGGTTGTCAGTTTGTGCATCTGTACCGAGTTTTCATCTCGAAATCTACAAAAGCTACAAGGCTGAAACTTTGGCAACTTAATCTACCTATAAGTATGGGCTCCTATCTTCGAAATGGACACCACTCTTGTCCACGTGGTTATTTGCTTTCAGTTTCACCTAAGTATCAGTTTCATAAATAAAGGAGCCCTTATTGAAGACGGGTTTTTGTAAAACAATTTCCACTGGCACAAGCTCAGTCTTTTTTTAGCTTTTATTCATAGTTTTTGATTCTTTGGTTTCGCTTTTTTCGTTCTTTTTCACGTGCGAGTCCGTGATATTTTTTTGCATGTAAGTTGCTACCACAGGAACCTGAACAGCTAGAAGGGTAATTTATTTTAAGGGAATGTTTTCTCAAACTTTGTGGTGGCCAATTCAATTCTTTTAGCTAGAAGCATCTGCCTGAAAAAACAGTGCCATCAGCCATAAAAAAAACTGCAGGGAACTGTGCAAAAAATGCATTTTCGCACCGGCAATCAATGTGCTGGCCAATTATGTTTCATTTTTATTGAAGGTATCAACTGCTAATGATAGTACGGAGTGTATTGAACGCGGTAAAGTACCGGTAACTGTTAGCACATCACCAGTTCGCGTTCAACCTGATTTGAAAATATCCGGACATTTGCTGACAGTGACTGTTAAATCAAAGAATCTCCAAGTTGCCGGTACATCAGTGTCACTTTACTCAAACACAGCTGTCAAGGTAAAACTTATTCCTTTTTTTTTGCTTCCCTTTTCCTCTGTGACACTGAAATCACGACTGGTGGAGAAAATGCATCCATATGCAAAAAAGGATCGGTGCGTTCTTGCCTTAAGCAGGCCCTCATCGCAGATATGGTCTTATCGGGCAGTTACTAAGACTCGGCTCGGGTCGGCTCGGCCGCCATTGGGGAAACACCTTAGCTTCTATGCCAGTACTATTTCGGAGCAGCATGACTTGCCGGCACTACTTGGCGCTTTGCCAACTAGAGTTGAGTAGTTTTACCCAGTAGACAATGGCTGGATGGCGTAATTGGGAGGTGGCGGGTAGAGAAGTTGGAGGTGGATGGGTGTCCAGATGTAGCGCCGGGGCAGGGATTGAGCACAAGATAGAGAAGGGGAATAAGGGTGCTAGTCAAGAGTTCGAGGCAAGAACGGGGTGGAGGGGGGGGGCAGCAGTAAAGAGAAGGGAACGCAGCACTGCAAAGAAAAGCAATTTAAAGAAAATTAAGACCTTTTGTTCTTCTGGTAACAAGCACACAATTTTTCCGAAATGAGGCATTTTCTCTTGAAAGAGCGCTTAATTTGTCTGGAACTGGGCTTGTGATTTTTGTAGAAAATTTTCTTTTTTCTGTGTATTGGTTCCTTGTACCTCCGTCAGTTTACATTTAAACAACTGTCGAAAAAGGGAGCCATCGATAACCGTGTCTGCCAGTGGTTGCTTCCACTCGGAAAGGAGGAGAAAGTGTGCTGCTGGTTTTTGCCACGGATATTCGAGGTAGGGGAAGGGCTGAAATATTGCTTGCTTTTACTAGAAAGCGTTTAACGTAGTGGGAGCTTCGACTAACCATTTTTTTTTATTTACCAAAAATACTATTTCACTTTAATCATCCCATTTCTATGGCTTTAATCAAACAAAAAAAGAAAACAGGGTCGGATTGCTGCACTGATTTTCAGCGTTTTTGCAGTTACCATATTGCGATGAAAAATCGGATAAGGAAGCTTCGGGATCCTCAGGAATGCTTGTTTGTAAGCTAAAAACTGATAGCAATGGCATTGCTCGTTTCCCATGCCTTCCACCTGGCTCATACAACATTCAGCCGTCATTTTCAACCGACAAACTTCGTTTTAGTTTTTCGCCTAAAACAAAAGAAGTTACTATGGGCTCAGCAGCTGAAAAGGTTCTTCTTTCTTTCTCTCTTTCTTCAGTAGGACATTAGAACTAATAATTAACATTTCTAGAGATTTCTTTTTTTGTGAAGAAAAAGGGTTTTTTAGCTGTATCT